GCGGTTTATCCTCGGGGGGGGCGGCCCCCCCCCAGCGCTGTCCACAGGCACGTTCACACCAAGCTTTGCAGGGGAATTTCGACAGAAGCCGCGGGAGCTGGGCACTGCTGGGGGTTTCGTGGGGCTGTCCCACCCCAGCCGGCTCCCCGGCCCCTCCTGGTCAGGCTCACCCCATCCAGGAGCCGAGCTCATGGGCACTCCCCGCAGTCCGAGATAATCACCTTCTGCTTTGGCTTCCCATCTTTGGTGCCCTGAGCCTTTGAGAAAAGAGGAGCAGGAATTAAAGGCACGAAGTCCAAGGGGAGGAAGGAGGTCGGCTCTGCCCCGACCGCCCCGCTGCCAGCACCTACCTCGATCTGCCGCACCACGTCCATGCCCTCCGTCACCTCCCCGAACACCACGTGCTTCCCGTCCAGCCAGTCTGTTTTATCGCAAGTGATGAAGAATTGCGAGCCGTTGGTGTTTGGACCAGAGTTTGCCATCGATAACAGCCCTGTGATCAAAAAGTGCAGTGTTACAGCTTGGGAGGGAGCAATGAGCTCCAGCACGTGAGCCACTACTTCAACCCAAACCCATTCCCATGCCCTGCAAAACGCTGCTGGTTTTAGAGGAGCCCCTGAATATTAAACTCCACAGAAACCATTGGAAACCAGTGACATCAAGACAGAAACACTTGCAAGCATGGAAGATGGGAAGTGGTGGGGATCGCTCATCTATTTGCAGTTGCAGTTACAGGAAAGCTGTTTGGATGGAGATAAACCCGTTTGCTTTTTGCTGCTTTTCCTAGTCACACGGTGGCATTCCTCCTTTAAAATCAGACAGGAAAGCAGCTTTGAAACTCTTCCTCCATTGTGCAATACTGGAAATTAACAGCGCACGGATGGAGAGCAAACGACGCGTTTCTGCTTGCTGAATGCCGGTGACACACGTGTGACAGTCTGACCACGGCAGATTACACCGCGGCAGACGTGTTTGGCCAACGTAGATTGTAATTCAGGGCTGCTGCTATCAACATGGTCTAGGACAAAACAGCCCAAGCGTGGGCCGTAGATGACGTTGAGCCATTTTTCTCTGCAGCGCCTGCCTGGGGAAATGGTTCTACCTGGCCCCGTGTGCTTGAGAATGAAGTTTTCATCATCAAACTTCTTCCCATAGATGGATTTGCCTCCAGTGCCGTTGTGGTTGGTGAAGTCGCCGGCCTGGCACATGAACTGGGGGATGATGCGGTGGAAGCTGCTCCCTTTGAAGCCAAAGCCTTTCTCGTGGGTGCAGAGGCAGCGGAAATTCTCTGTTTGGGGGCAAGGCGGAGAGAGGTGAGAGCTGCATCGCAGCTGGAAGCCACCACGCTGGGGAGGCTGACCCTCTCCTCACCTACGGTCATGGGCACCACATCTGAGCGCAGGAGGATCTGCAGCCGCCCCGCAGGTTTATTTCCAATCTTGATGTCCATGTAAACCTGAGGGTTGACCCGGGATTTCTTGGCAGGAGGCTCGCCCTGGGCAGGAAAAAAAAAAACAAACCAAGTTGAGATGACATTCATCTGCTCTGCCTCCAGAGGCAGCTGGCCCGTGCTCTCAGACTTCAGGACAGCAAGGATACCCATGGCTCTGGTTGGTTTTCCTACCTCCTGCACCTCTGGTTTGGGGGCCTCTGCTGCTGCCTCCTCTGTGTTCTCCTCCAGAGTCTTCCCAGAAAACTTCTTCAGCCAGTCATCATCCGACCAGACTGCAACAGCAAAAGGAAGGGTCAGAGCACAGGAACAGAACTGAACCAACCCGAAGGGCCACGCATCAGGACGCAGCACAGAGCTGGCAGCAGGATGGCACCCGAGGCGTGGGAGCACTCAACCAGCAGCAGCCTACCCCAAAAGACACAGCGTGCGGGGAAATAAGGGGTAAAGTCATCCCTTCTTCCTCCCAGAGGTGCCACACATCAGTGGGCAGGGCAAGCTCATGGCCTGTTCCCTGCGACTCCCCCCACGCAAGGCAATTGCTCGGGATGGCCTTGGCCCTGTCCGCTTTTACAGATGTGGCCAGATGTGTGGGTAATTCTGCCTGGCACGTGCGTGCGTGCTGTGCCCTCTGTCAAAGGACATGAAGGCAACTGGAAGTGCAGCCAAGAGTCCTCCCATCCAAAGAACTGGGGGATATTTTTGGTTATTAGGATGCTGCTCAGATCCCTTGGCCTCAGGGTCTCTGCCTCAAGGTCTGGGGAACCAGAGAGAAAGGCCGATGCACGAAGCTCTGAACATCCACGGAGATGCTCTCCCCTCCCGGGTACCGACTCACCAGGCCTGGATGATCCTTCTTTAATTCGCATTGGTTTGGCCAAGTTCACACGAATTGTCCTGCCAAAGAGCTCAGACTCGTTCTGCAGAGGAAAAAAAAGCAGAACAAAGCCCCCACCAAATGGTAAAAAAATCATCATGCCCCCCAAATCCTTGCAGAGGTCAGAGGAAAAGAGAGCTTGCTTTCTCTATATGGCCCACGCCACACGGGGACTCGCTCTGTGCTACCGGGAAGACGGCAAAGCCACGCGCCTCCGCAGGCCAGGGGGAACAGGGTTCGTACCATGTTGTCAATAGCTGCCGCCGCATCCTGCCAAAAAAGCAAAAGGAAATCATTATTATCGTTTCTTCTCTCCCTACTTTTAAAAGCAAGGCTCAGCCTACACGTGCCCCAGCGTTTTGGTGCCAAAAAGATTGCCAAAGGACCACGTTCCTAAACCTCACCTACCCCAGAGCAGCAAAAAGAGATGGATCTCACAAGAGCCGTATCCAAACCAGTATCTGGGGTTCGCATTCCCACAACCAATCCAGTAAACTCATTTTACGTACGATGCTTTGTCGCTTACATGAAATACGTGGGAGGAGAGGAGGGACCCTCTGTGTAAAGCCCAGGACAGACTGTCAGACAGCAAATATACGGCAGCCTGTGCTGCCCACAAAGCCAGGAAAGCCACCCACTGCTGCTGAGCTCTGGGGACAGCCGGAGGGCACTTTGGGCTGGCAGCGGCCGTGCTTCAGCCCGAAAGAAAATGGCCAAAGCGGGAGCTCGGAAAGGCAAAATAGCTCTCGCTGCTGGAGAACAACCCGAGGCTGAGGCTGGTGACCCATCAGCTGCAAGGCTGCTGTCCCCGAGGGGAAGAGGAGCCGGGGGAGGGAGAAGATCGGGGGGG